TTCAAAAGATGTGATATGCAAGCGCAATGTCTATAAATTGCATGTTTGCATAGAAAAACAATGGAAAAGTAGTTAATTGGAATGGAAAAATTAATTCTGTGTGAATGGTTTCTGTAATGGAGATAAAGGATTGGTCTTTGGAGTAGATTAGTAGGTAAATTAACTGCAAATGTACATTTTAAGGTGAACTATCCCTTTAATACGAAATCAAAATGCAGATGCCCACCACTCAAGCACATATTCAACTCTCTTTCCACTTTATACATCTTTACTGACAGTATTTTAAACCAAAGCCATGAGGGTAGATGGATGGTAGCGAGAGCATGCTTCAGTGCATGATATAGTATTGACAGGTCAGCCACCGCAGTCCTGTCGGATCCCTCTTCACCCTGGGGAACTCCGCTGTCTGTTTTTGGCCCCTTCCCCCTTCTCCGACAATCCCAACCCCCTTCATGCGCTCTGGGGGTAGAGGAGCGGCACGCCGTGCTGTGGTACTTTATGATGAACCCGCACTCCCACCAGCGATGAGCATGACAATGACATACAGAGAAGCGTCTCCATAATTGATAGAAGACCAGATTAAAGTGCAACCAGAAAATTAGCTCAGACACTACATTTTATCTGACCAATCGCGTAATAATTGAAAAATAATGGAAGTTGAGGCTCGCAGCGTTGGGAGAAAATTACATGGATGCATTCTGACTGCATGCGAAAGGCTTTGCAGCTTTAAGGGGGTGAATTGGAAATGACTTATTGATGTAATCGCATTTCTTTCTTAAGGCTTGTTGTGTGGATAATGGTTTAATAAAGCAATGGTTTGGAATGCTCTCGTCTTCAGACTGTATTCTCCTGTCATATTGCACACAGTTTTGATATCAGCTCATTAGGATACCAGGACTTAATGAGCTCCCACTGAGCTGAGATAGAATGCCTGTAGGCCCCTCTTAACATTTTCTAATACCCTTCCAGCCCTCGTCCAATCCTCTTCCATGACCCTTTATAGTGGGATAAATGCGACGCTCGGTTGGGCAATGGAGGCTACACTTATAGTCTGGCACACACCGCTCTCTCTCTCTCTCTCTCTTTCAATCCCTTTCTTTCTTTAGTGCTTTGGTGCCTGGCACTCAATAAGTGGATCCCCTATTTTGGGTGTTCTGTGAATAAGTTTCCATACATGGAAATGCTCAGCAACAATCACAGTTAAGGATCTCTATGAGAGCTTTCCATCCAGTCAACTGTCTTTTGCTGCCAGCCGGAGTGCTCTTGAAATGGCTGAGGTCATTGTCATTACCATGAGCTGTGTCCGAATTCCTCTGCATTTAAGGTGTGCTCACACTTGTAGTTCAGTTTCTTGATTATTTTAATCTGGATCAAAAAATACATATTTTATCATTAGTTTTGGTTCGATGAGAGTTTACAGTGTCACCTTTAAGTGGGTTTAATTCACCTGAAATTATTATTTTCTCACCATTCACTCACTCTCAAGTGGTTTTTAAACTTTTATGAATTTCTTTCTTCAGTTGAACACAAAGAAGTTGAAGACGTTGGGAAAAGAACACCCACTGACATCCATAGTAGGACCAATAAAAATATTATGAAAGTCAATGGCTGTTTTTTCCAGCATTTTTCAGTATATATTCCTCTGTGTTCAACACTCAAACAGATACTCAAAACTCAAAAAGGTTTAGAAGAAAAGGATGAGTATCAAGACAGATTTTTTTTTTTTTTTTACTTTGGGTGAACTGTCCCTTTAAGACCGAATCTTTAGATTTAAAAAAGCTTATAATTTTTGAAGACCTCAAAACAATGTCAGGAATTCCCCCACCACACACATAAATAAATATCTCAGCACATAATGCATTTCTGATACCTATATAGAATTTTAATGAGCAATATTGTAAATAAGACTTGCGCATGCTGTCATTATTCATGCTTGTATGTTGTGACATCATGTTCTTTCAGCTTAACTTAGTTGACTTTGGTTCATGTCATGTTCATATTTTTTTCTAACTGCAGGATTTGGATGGCAGAATTCATAGTTGTTCAGATAAACCTTACAACAATTAATCATTAGAGTTTGATTTATTCAAACAAAGCCTGCCAAAGTGTGGACACACCTTTAGAGTATTTATTGATTAAAATATTATGTCTCGTATGAAGACGTGTAATGTAAATAGATTCCTGGGAATTCTGCATCTGACACGTTGATATTGGCCTTCGGAATCTTTGACCTCTTAATGTATGATTTTTTTTATTTGTTTGCCAAGTAAATTTAACCTTCAAGTATGCTGTAACTCTCTTAGTAACTAAAAAGCTGAACTGAAAATAGCACAGACTCTCACTGTTCTCTGCCATTTTTCTAAATGTGTCAAATGTGACAGGTGATTAGCACATGGAGTCTTATGAGACATAAAGTATCTGAATAACATTAGCTTGGCATTGTATGTTTCATAAATACAGCATATTCAGATTTACCATTTTAACAAGACTTGGAAACATC